AACGCAAAATCAGAGAATCTGCCATCATAGCTACTACTCCCAGTTTCAACATCTCACAGGGACAATGGGTACCAGACGTCATTTCAAAATTCACCCTCAAGAAATACATACTAGCGACCAATCTAACATAGAACGCCGGCACAGCATCAGGGATTACATAGAAAAAAGGAACTTCCTACCCAAATTTTTAGCTTCACTTCAGAACCTGTCTTCTCACCCACCCACTGCTTGACACGTCCCCCAACTCACACGTAAAGGGTGAGGTGTAATCTTCCCTATATATTCTTGTTTTCATTTCATTTATGTATCTGCTGAAGAGGATCCCAGAAGGGGATTGAAATATACAGACAAATTAATCTTCTGTGTTTGTCTCCATGTAGATTATTTTTGATCATTGACAAGTGTTCATTACACTTTAGTTATCCACAGTGACGGTTAAAGACAGTGTCTGTATGGGCGGGAGTGACGAGTGGGATACCACAAGGATCAGTACTAGGACAGGTACCGTTTCTAATATATGGCATTCCTGAAGTACTAATGGAATGCCAGGGACAAGGATACAAAGAATGAATAAATAATAATAGTAGCAATAATAATAATAATCTAGACTGCCTATAAGTCATGAACGTTCAGTTATTACCCACCGAATAACCAACAAAACCAAGACACAACAAACTATCAGACACTATTAGTTACTAGACCATTATTCTCCACCATAAACCCTTATACTCCACCATAAGCCTTTATACTCCATCATAAAACTATTACACTCCACCATAAAACCACTACACTCCACCATGAAACCATTACACTCGACTTGAAGGTAAATGGCCAAATTACGACCGAAACGTCGTCGTAAACTTTTCTCTCCTATGTGCGGTTGATTTGTGTATAGAGTTTCTAGATTCGCAAGGAAGTGAAACATGGCTTGTTGTCTCCCTAGAGTTTAAGTAACTATTAATAACTGACGTTACTGATGTGTGCTCACTTAATTGTGGTTGCCAGGGCCGATTTATAACTCCTGGCCCGCCTCTTCACTGGTCGCTACTAGGTCCACTCTCCCTGCAAAAAGTCTGTGTGTATGTGTGAATGTATGTATGTGTGTGTGTGTGTGTGTGTGTGTGTGTGTGTGTGTGTGTGTTGTGTGTGTGTGTGTGTGTGTGGTGTGTGTGTGTGTGTGTGTGTGTGTGTGTGTGTGTGTGTGTGTGCGTGTGTGTTTGCGTGTGCTTACCTATATGTGTTTGCAGGGGTCGAGGCACAGCTCCTGGCCATTCTGAAACGAGGTTTCCTTCGGTCTAAAACAAGGTTTGCTTCTATCAACAACGAGGTTTCCTTCACTAGTTAAAACGAAGCTTCTTCCCCCAGTCATTCACGAGGTTTCTTTCCCCCAGTCATTCACGAGGTTTCTTTCCCACAGTCATTCACGAGGTTTCTTTCCCCCCAGCCATTCACAAGGTTTCTTTCCCCCAGTCATTCACGAGGTTTCTTTCCCCCAGTCATTCACAAGGTTTCTTTCCCCCAGCCATTCATAAGGTTTCTTTCCCCCAGTCATTCACAAGGTTTCTTTCCCCCAGTCATTCACGAGGTTTCTTTCCCACAGTCATTCACAAGGTTTCTTTCCCACAGTCATTCACAAGGTTTCTTTCCCCAGCCTTTCACAAGGTTTCTTTCCCCAGTCATTCACGAGGTTCTTTCCCACAGTCATTCACGAGGTTTCTTTCCCCCAGTCATTCACGAGGTTTCTTTCCCACAGTCATTCACGAGGTTTCTTTCCCACAGTCATTCACGAGGTTTCTTTCCCACAGTCATTCACAAGGTTTCTTTCCCCCAGTCATTCACAAGGTTTCTTTCCCCCAGTCATTCACAAGGTTTCTTTCCCCCAGTCATTCACGAGGTTTCTTTCCCACAGTCATTCACGAGGTTTCTTTCCCCCAGTCATTCACGAGGTTTCTTTCCCACAGTCATTCACAAGGTTTCTTTCCCCAGCCATTCACAAGGTTTCTTTCCCCCAGTCATTCACGAGGTTTCTTTCCCACAGTCATTCACGAGGTTTCTTTCCCCCAGTCATTCACGAGGTTTCTTTCCCACAGTCATTCACAAGGTTTTTTCCCACAGTCATTCACAAGGTTTCTTTCCCCCAGTCATTCACAAGGTTTCTTTCCCCAGTCATTCACAAGGTTTCTTTCCCCCAGCCATTCACAAGGTTTCTTTCCCCCAGCCATTCACAAGGTTCCTTTTTCCCAGTCATTCACAAGGTTTCTTTTCCCCAGTCATTCACAAGGTTTCTTTCCCCAGTCATTCACAAGGTTTCTTTCCCCAGTCATTCACAAGGTTTCTTTCCCCCAGCCATTCACAAGGTTTCTTTCTCACAGTCATTCACGAGGTTTCTTCTCCCAGTCATTCACGAGGTTTCTTCTCCCAGCCATTCACGAGGTTTCTTTCCCCAATTGTTCACGAGGTTTCTTCTCCCAGTCATTCACGAGATTTCTTCTCCCAGTCATTCACGAGGTTTCTTCTCCCAGTCATTCACGAGGTTTCTTCCCCTAGTCATTCACGATGTTTCTTTCCCCAGTCATTCACGAGGTTTCTTCCCCCCAGCCATTCACAAGGTTTCTTTCCCACAGTCATTCACGAGGTTTCTTCTCCCAGTCATTCACGAGGTTTCTTCTCCCAGTCATTCACGAGGTTTCTTCTCCCAGTCATTCACGAGGTTTCTTCTCCCAGTCATTCACGAGGTTTCTTCTCCCAGTCATTCACGAGGTTTCTTCTCCCAGTCATTCACGAGGTTTCTTCCCCTAGTCATTCACGAGGTTTCTTTCCCCAGTCATTCACGAGGTTTCTTCCTCCAGTCATTCACGAGGTTTCTTTCCCCAGTCATTCACGAGGTTTCTTCCCCCAGTCATTCACGAGGTTTCTTCCCCCAGTCATTCACGAGGTTTCTTCCCCCAGCCATTCACGAGGTTTCTTCCCCCAGTCATTCACGAGGTTTCTTCCCCCAGTCATTCACGAGGTTTCTTCCCCCAGCCATTCACGAGGTTTCTTCCCCCAGTCATTCACGAGGTTTCTTCCCCAGTCATTCACGAGGTTTCTTCCCCCAGCCATTCACGAGGTTTCTTCCCCAGTCATTCACGAGGTTTCTTTTTACTTTTCCTTGGATTATTCCTCCATTTTCTCTTTTTTTCCCGCGTTCTGTTCTTGTTTATTGTGGGCTTCATCTTCCCTTTTTCCCCTCCTGTTTCCCGTCTTTCTGTTCTAGTATTTTTCCCCTCTCATCTTCCCTTCCTTCCTCTTAGTTCTACCCTTTCTTTCCTCCCTTCCTCTTAGTTCTACCTTGTCTTTCCTCCCTTCCTGTTAGTTCTACCTTCTTTCCTCCCTTCCTCTTAGATTTACCCTCTCTTTCCTCCCTTCCTCTTAGTTCTACCGTCTTTCCTCCCTACCTCTTAGTTCTACCCTCTTTCCTCCCTTCCTTAGTTCTACCTTGTCTTTCCTCCCTTCCTCTTAGTTCTACCCTCTTTCCTCCCTTCCTCTTAGTTCTACCCTCTCTTTCCTCCCTTCCTCTTAGTTCTACCCTCTTTCCTCCCTTCTTCTTAGTTCTACCCTCTTTCCTCCCTTCCTCTTAGTTCTACCCTCTTTCCTCCCTTCTTCTTAGTTCTACCCTCTCTTTCCTCTTAGTTCTACCCTCTTTCCTCCCTTCTTCTTAGTTCTACCTTCTCTTTCCTCTTAGTTCTACCCTCTTTCCTCCCTCTTAATTCTACCCTCTTTCCTCCCTTCCTCTTAGTTCTACCCTCTTTCCTCCCTCTTAGTTCTACCCTCTCTTTCTTCCCTTCCTCTTAGTTTTACCCTCTCTTCCCTTAGGTCTACCCTTTCTTCGCCCCTTTTTCTCAGTTCTACCCTCTCCCTCGTTCCTCTTAGTTCAAACTTCCAGTTCTCCCTCTGCTCTTAGTCCTTGCCTCTCCCCCTGCTCCATCAGTCTTGCTTGCCCCCTGCCCTCCCTGGAGTGAGGCGGGCGCTGGGGGAGCAGCGGCAGGCAGTAATGATAGCGTGATAAGTGGTTCATTAGTGGACGTTTAATTACACGGAAGCAACTATCAGTGTGGGTGCCGCCACTGTGTGTTTAGTGGCTTCTCCGCTGATAAAGAAATCATTCCGCTCAAGCGACGTAATGAGCAGTAAATCAGTGAGCGCAGGGCTCTGCGGTGTAATGAACAGCTCTCGTTAGCCGCCATTCACAATTTTCCGTTCAAAGACGCACAATTACGTGGCACGACCGCCCTCCGAGCCTCCAATTATAGCGTGATCAGCTCGGATCCCACTCTATAAAATTTGAGTTTGTGTGACATATTGAATGAAAACAGCGAGGCTTCCGCGAGCCTCATATGGCAACACCACCTCTGGTTAGTGGAGGACCAATCAGAGCGCAGCATTGATTATGACTGCACCAATCAGCGCGCGACTTGCTGACTGCTGGCCGCCCGGGGGCGTCACCAAACTTTCTCACATTTATCGCTCACCTTCACTGAGTTTCGATAGTTACGATATTTCTATCCACGAAAAGTAGGCTGAAACCATAGAATTTTACTATAAATATGCATGTTGCTAACTAAAACAGCATTGCAGGAGAATTTCAAACATTCCTGGTTATTTTACGGAGACGCAAATTGAGCTGCGCCAACAAGCCCAGAATTCTAGATATTTCAAAAACTTGTGGGAAAAAGCGAAAATCTTGTTACCAACTGGAAGAAGGATCACCGAGGGGAGGCACTTGCCTAATGGCATCATTTTCTGCGCCAATTTGCTCACAATTTGAATAGAAATTAAGTGTTTACGCACCCGCATCCCAATCTTTTGCTCTCTTACGTCACCACTTTGGAGGAGCCAATGAGCGCGCGCCAGGACCCGAGGCCCACCAATCAGCGGCCGCCGCTCCTGAAAAGAGACGATTTGCGGTAATATACATTGAATTGTTGGTGTTATCGCCGACATTTGACGCTAAGATTGAT